TCAACAGAATCAAGATATCGAGATAATTCCAGGTGACCGTAATATGTATGCTTCAGAAGTCAAAGGTTTAGATAAAGTTTTTGAAAAGGTTAAGGCTAATCTTCGAAAAGGATATGAACGTAACGCTAGGAGTTACAACTTACGTAGAAGAGAAGTCCAATTTCAAGTGGGTGATAAGTTTGGAAAAGAAATAAGGTTTTGTCTTGTGCTGTCAACAAGTTTATGTCCAAACTAGCACCAAAGTATATTGAAGCAACTATCAAGGAAAAATTATCACCAGTGGTTTATCGTTTGTCAGATTTAAATGGTTCAGATCTTGGTAAGTGGCACATTAAAGATTTAAAGCCTTTTGTGTTAGATGAGGACAATATGTCATTTTTAAGTAATTAGTTCATCCTATCCCATGTCTGTATTTTCGAGTTTGTATGTTGATTTGATTTCATCCCTTTGGAATATTGTTTCACTTTTGATAATTTTAGTTCAGGTAACCTACTTTATTTGGGAGACACATGTGAGAATCACATTTTTTCATATGTAGGTATATAGATTTAGGGTCTATATCCTAATTTTTTTTGTAGAACCGTTGCCGAATTCCCTGTCTCGCTAGGCGTATAGTGGAGATAGTAACGCCTACCTGTTAAGTGTAGAGCAATTTATTTTGGATTTATGTATAGCACCTGATTTAGGCAACGAGGTGTCATGGCTATGCCTGCCCGACAAATCACTTGTGTTACTGCTGTGAATGTCAGCGAGGTTCACTGCAGGGCATAAGGTTAGCTTCCCCCAAGGCATAGAAACTCATGTCACCTACAGTTCAAGTAGAGTCAAAAATTTCAGTCTACTCGACTTTAAAGAGTCTGGCGATCGATGGCACGCTAGCCCATTCTTTGTAACTAACTTTGTTTTTGTTGTTTAATCCCACGCTAGCCATCATCTAAAAGATATTATTAAGAAGTTTCGACTCAGTTAAGAGGTCATCTTCTGATTTGGTTTTTGATGTTTTGCCTTTATCAAAAACTGGATAAGAATTATCCGAGTTTTTTCTTTTAAGAAGGGGCATTGTAGCGTTTTTTTATTTAAGTGTATAGAAAAGATTTCTGTGTTACGTCCCTGTTGTTTTTACCAGAGAAAACAATCGAAATAATATTTCAAGTTTTTTTGACGAGATTTTTAAATGCGTATATTTCTACCGATTCAAAAGTAAATATAGATGTTTTTTTGTCTGTGTTTAGATTCAAATATCGAACCCTTTGTTATAAGCCAGGTAAAACTCAAGTTTAAAATACGCACGTATTTTGTTAATTTGTATTATGTAAATTTATGATGCCCCCTGATAAAAAAAAAGGTTTTATTTGTTTTCTTCGTTAAAAACGCAATAAATCATGAATTCCCCTAATATTAAAGTTGTTTTTCGTTATTAGTCGAGGGTCAAAAAAAGGATATTTGTTTGTTTAGGCAATAAAGGAACATTTAAAATTTGTTTTTTTGTCGATACGAGCGAGGGGATATTGTTTTGGTTCTGGAGTTTGTGGAGAGGTTAGCTGCAAGACGGAAGGGAAATTTTTGGCTAGTTTCTTGTAAAATGTAACGAAGCAAAGGAGTGGAAGAACAGATTTGAAACGGTGTAGATGTTATACAATGTAGAGTCCAAGAAAAGATTTGAAACTGGGCAGACGGCTGACAATGTAGAAAGTCGGTAAAGAGACCGGCTAAAAGGTGTTGAAAATAGTAGACTATATTCTATGTAATATGTCAAATTTGAAAGGAGTAATCACTATTTTCATTTTTCTAAGTACCTAAGGGATTTGTGTTGCCTGCAAAAATTTTCGAAAGATAATCTCACATGTTGCCGTTGTGTCCAGTTTTGTGTATTCCTGTTTTTTAAGAAGCCCTTTCCAAAGTCTTGTGTTCCAAATTTTTAACCTCAAGTTTGTAATATTTGTCCTAAGAAGCCGTCCCAGAATATGTCTCACAGTATGGAAATAGATTTGATCGTGTGGCAGAGAAGGTAACCCCAAAAATCTTAGTGTGTTTAGTGAAACCAAGGTAACCCTTTTTTGTTTTAAACTTTTGAAGGAAAAGAAACATTAAAATAATAATTGCTTTCATACAATTTAAAAGTTTTAATAATTAATATTGTAAATCTTAGAGTGTGGTTATGCTTTCAATTTGATTTGTTCTCCGTTGTAAGTAAGATTAAGATTTTATGTTGACAGCTAGCAGCTAACTTTATTATTTTTTTTGACAATAATTTGCCTTGGTTTTTTAAAGAAGATTAACCTCTCTATGAATGTTTTCATTTTAAAGATATTTCTTTATTTGTAATAAATTATTTCTGACACAGTTTCATTAACAGTACAACAGTTAATATTTCAGTAAAATTTGTAAATATTTATAGCAATCTCCTTTGTAGACAAATAAGCACGTAAGTTTTTGCTAATTTTTGTATTATGTTTATATAATATGTTCTTGTAAAATCTGTATTTTTGAAAACTGTTTGGTGAGACAAAAATAAATGTTTAATTTGTTTCTCTGATCTATTTTGAGTTTTATTTGAAAAAGATATTTTTTTTTTCTATGTTTTTGATATACAATTATTTCCCTAGTTACAACTAGTGGTTGTAATAGGTATAATTGGGCACCTCAAGTGGCGCCCTATATTAAATTTCTTGAGGTGTTTCCGTTAATTTTCATTCTGTTTGTCCCAAGAGATTTGTATAAGTACCCCTTTATTTCTTTTTTTTGTAGTTGTCCAATCCAACCCCCAATATCTTCAACTTATCCACGACCCAGCTCTCCAACAACCAACTGAGTGTCCGTATGCACTTGTTTCGATTATTTTGTGTGCCCAATCTTGTCCCCCATATTCTTACCCTGTGGTAAGCAAAATAGTCGTTACAACATGTATTATTATTATTTCTGAGTTCACTTTTATCTGATGTTACTCTGCGTATTGGATTTCTAGATGTATGTCACAAGCCACAAGAGCATCGGAAGGTTTTATTTCGTACTTACTCAAAAATATTCACCCCATCTATTCGTGATCATTTTCATCTGGAAATATTTCGCCCTTCTGTTTTTATTGAAATTGAGAAATACGGGACAATAGTAAGTAGTTCATATAATCAGTTAATCAGAATATTTTAAGATTTTTCCAAAAGGATCCCGACAATTTTCTTATTTAAAAGTGGTTTCAGTTAAATTGGCTGACACTTTGCATCATGCTTTTGGCAGTCATGCTGCTAAAAGTTACATTGCCCCAAGTCCCAGAAATCAATCATTTCTGAGTTAGAGAGCTTCAAAATGTCGATTCTTAGGCCATTTGAATGATAGGGCGATGACAGGGTGGTGAATCGTCAAACGGGCCATAGGAAACTCAATGAGAAATTCTAAATTGTTGAATTCCTGCTTCCCTAATTATGTTACACCAAAAGTCATGGGAAACTATTTGTAGAGGAATCAAATATGTATCGAAAACAATTGTTAAAATTGTTCTACGAATTAAACGTATTCCAAAATTTTGCTAAAATATAATACATTTTTCAGGCCACCCCTAAAAGTCAGGCCAGACGCCGTGAAAATAATGTGTATTACGTGTTGCGTTTTGTCATATTAACGTTTCTAATATTTGACAATATTTAAATCAACTATATTATATTTTTTATCTATGATTTAAATAGCCAAAATTTTGTGATTTATTATTTAAAAGAAAAATTAAGTTATAATAAAATAATAATAAAAAATGTACTCAGTTAAGGAGAAAAGAGCAATAATAAAAATGTTTTATTCATGTTTTATTATAACATTTGTTATAGTTTGATGTTTAGAAATTATCCTATATTATTATTAGGAATAAAGATCACAGTAACAGTATATTGGAATTCATTGAATTGTTGTATAACTTAACTTAACATGGAATTAAATTTTAGTGTATTGGAATATCTTACGTTAAATAAAGATCCGGTAGTGACAGGAAAAGGTTTGCGCTATTGCCTGAATACAACATTATGCGATTTTTCGTCAACTGAGTACATTTCATTATATTGATCGATTTGTAAACAATATAATTTTTTGTTCACAAAGTAATATTGTTCAGTAGTAGTAGTATTTAGTAAAATTCATTGTTTATAATTTAATCATAAAATAAAAAAAATTCAAATTGTCAAACATCTGACATCAATATGATAAAAGACACACGTTATAATATTTTCTTGTATTACCTGTGACCTAACTTTTAGGGGTGGTCTGAAAAATCTATTATATTTTTGCAAAATTTTGAAGTGAATTCGTAGAACGGTTTTAACATTTGTTTTTAATTTAGAATTTAGTCCTCTACAACTAGTTTTTTATGACTTTTGATCTAAAATAATTAGGGAAGCAGCAATTCAACAATTTAAAATTTCCCATTGAGTTTCTTATGGCCCATTTGACGATTCACCACCCGGTATAGGTATTTAAATAATATACAGGGTGTTAGTAAATAAGTGCGACAAACTTTAGGGAGTGATTTTGCATGAAAAAATAATGACAGTGTTACATAAATCAATCATACATAAATCATATAAAAAGCAAATGCTTCGTTTTCCTAGAAATGACGATTTATTTATTGCTCTGAAACCGGTTGAGATATGCAAGTGAAATTTGGGGTATTAAGGGTTAGTTATTGCGCATTTTTTTGATATACAATTAAGAATATTGTCATACATTTTATATTCTAATAGTATTAGTAATATTCCCAAATAAACAATTAGTAACTGCAGTTTAATTTAACCTATTCTTGCGCTCTCACAATATTTACGCCTCTCCCAATTTAGTTATGTTTAAACTTAGAGTATTGTCATGTTTATTATTATTCCAAACTTTTGTTTCCTATACCAACATAAAAACATAATAAAAATATAGTTCTCATTCTTCCAATTTTTCTTGTATTACATTATAAGAATTATATTTTTTATAGCATAAATACGACCAAAAGTGATATATGACCAATGACGTGAGAAATGGCAATAGGACGCCCAAGAAAAATTTGGTCAGGTAAAATAAACAAACGCTAAAGTAATGATAAACAGCATGTTGAAATAGTAGGAAGAAGAAGCAAATTAAAAAAAAAACTCTTCCAAATATGATCTACTCGATATTTATGTAAACAAATGATGAGTTTTTCTTCTTCCCCTGTTTCAATGTTAATAGCTGTTTGAATCATAGATTCAGCTACACTAGGTTATTAGCGCTGCAAGTAAAATTTTAAAATATACCTTACCTATCCACATAATATTATCCAAATGCTCAAGATTTCACCTTTTAATAGTTTGTAATCCTTCCTTTTCCTATATTTTGAATTGTTTCAGATCTCACTAGACATAAGAAACATGATGTTTATTTTAAAAAGAGTAATAATTAATATATCGTATATGTACGCATATTACAGAATTGTCTTGGAATCATATGAATACTTTTTTATTTTAGATGAGATTTATCAACACTGGCTTGATCTAAGGTACAAATACATGTCCATAACTCCAGAAATAAGAAATTTGCTTCAAACACTTAGTGATCAGTATATTCTTGCTTTAATTACAAATGGAACATCAAATGCTCAATGGGAAAAAGTCGACAAACTGAATATTCGGCCGTTCTTCGACCTGATACTGGTCTCCGGTGATCTTCCTTGGGAAAAACCTCATTCCCAAATTTTTCTCGAAGCATGTCATCATCTAAGTATTGAACCACATCAAGTGGTTATGGTTGGTGATAAGTTGGAGACCGATATTTTAGGTAAATATTATACATTATTCAAGTAGGGTTAAGAGCCTATCTACTACTGATTATTAGAACGATATGAAGTTGATTGTGAATTTAATAAAAATAAACCTGTAATAACTGTAAAGAAATGAATAGACCGTAATAATCTTACTTGAATCTAAAAAACCTAACGACGAGAATTGGAATACGAGTAAATATTTAACTTAACAGGATAGGAAGACACAAGTGCATAAAGGATCTATGTAACATAAACAACTTTTCAAGTAAAATGAATTCAAAGTTTTTTAATTAGAACTTTTTTATTAATAAGCCTAGAATGATACAATTTTGAAGAAATTTAGACCTTAAAGTACACTTTTTAATAATGATAATTTAACAATAATAATTCACAACTAAAGAAAAATATTTAATTATAAATGTACATAAATCCTTTATTCCCTAAGTAACTTAGGCAAACATTTTTAATTCAAAATGCATAAAGGATACAAGAAACAATAAAACGATGTAAAACCAAATGTTATTTCTAATTCGTTCTTCTTTTTTTTTATTTTTTTATTTATTTCATTTTCGATTTCTGCGCCTTCTTTATTTTCCCATAGACGAGTATAAAAATGTCTATAAGTTTCCTCTATAAAACAAAGTTGTTGTTTTAAATTATTAATTTTTTCAACGGACAGAGTATTCGTTTTGTTTGGTATAACTTCTAATACAAAACCTTCTCCTGAATTCGCCCTTACATTTTTTATTATATCCACTTTTAAGAACGGCATGTTTGGGTCTAAGGAGTTTTTGTAGTAATATTCACCGTAGTACACGTGTACACCACGGTGTATTCACCGTAACTATCCATTTGATATCATCTCTAAAATTTATTTTATCTCCACAGCAATTCTTTTTTCTATTTAATAAGTGTAATTTATTTTCTATGTCTGCTATATTTTTAAAGCGGTCGGTCATATTTATAATAACAGAACCTTTTTTACTTGATTCTCTTATAATATCTCTATATTGATCTGCGGCATATATGGTCTCAACTTTTCGTAATTTCTTTTCAATTATTCCAAAATCTCTATCAGAATTTAAAAAGGAATGCCCTACTTCTGGAAGTTTATCGTCTATTATCTTCACGTATCCCTTTAAAATTAAGTACTGATATAGGCATATTACGTTAAAAATTTTGTTCTGCCCTGCACACGAGTCAGACCATATGAGAAGATGGTTTCTTTCTTTCTTTCTGCTTGTTAAAAGTTGAACAAATGTGTGCAAGCTACTGCCAACTTCAAGATTGCCCTTCGTTGCTACATCTTCGGTCCAATTAAAAAAGTAGGCTTTATCACCCTCTGACGTTATTGAGTGAATTCCAAAGTTATAGAACCACATCTGCCTCAAATAAAATGCCTTAGAAGTAGTAAGGCGTGGTAAAGGCATGATCTGTTGTAGGTCCATGGTTAAATAGCATATTCCTTTATTATTGTGTGCCCGTTCTCTATCGAATTTTTGTTGCTCAAAAGCAAATTTAAATTTTTCTTTGTCGATCTCATCCCCTAAATTGGTATCGCACATACTGCATGTATCACTTTTGGGCTGGCCAAAAGACAAATTAAATTCTGATGAGAAAATGTGCGTATAAAAACTTTTTGAAACCAAAAACCGTTTATCCATCTTAGTTTCTTGAACATATTCTTGATACAATTCATGCAGTTTTGTTATATTTAACAAGGGAGACAAATAGGTACATTTCATACTGTTTTTGTCCCAGATTAAGTAAAAGTCTACTTCTTGCTGACATTTTCGCAACTTATTTCACTATTTTCACTATAAAAGTACACAGTACGATTTTAGATGTAAACAATGACGTATAATATATGGACTCGGTGAACGCTTTAAAAAGTGTCCAAAACATGAATACCTTTGTTATTGTTTATTGTTTTGATACGAAGATGCACGAAGTTCATGATTTCTTACGAAGCATCACGAAGTTGATCTTGTGTTTGAAAACATCATAGCCGTATGAAAACATTTTCTCCATTTTGTGTGACAAGCAAATTTTATTTTAAATTGTTGAGAGTTATTTACTTACTATTTTAGTTACTATTTATAACTGGGAATAAGCCACAATTAAAGATAAAAATACGTTTATTGACGTTTCAATTTCCAATTCGGAAATCGTTCTCAAAATACGTTCAAAAATAGAACGATTTCCGAATTGGAAATTGAAACGTCAATAAACGTATTTTTATCTTTAATTGTGGCTTATTCCCAGTTATAAATAGTAATTAATTTACAATGCCACAAGAAAATAGCTTCAGAACAATACTATTTTAGTACAATGCCATACTATTTTATCAAAATAATTATTTCTCTTATAAATGGGAACAAAAAGAAATAAATATTTAATTTTAATTAAAAAAATAATTATTGTCATTAACATATAAATGAGCACGCCGCTGTTCTGATAAACATACCTTCAACCTTGAGCCGAGATCTGTCGGACACTCGATTCTATAGCGAGAATAGGGGACTGCGTAGTCTATATATTATACGTCATTGGATGCAAAGAACAACATAACCTAACTTTAGGGATCTATGTAACATGACATGACAACAGCAATTCGTTTGGTCAGACATAAAAGATCTATGTAGAATATTGAGCACATGGATCTTTTATGCACTTTTGTAATAAAATATTGCTTGGTACATAGATCCTTTATCCCCCAAATAAATCGTTGCTAAACGTTTTTAAGCCAAATAAATCTTATGAAGCAAATTTAGGGGTTAGAACAGACCTACTGAGCCTAAAAACTGATTTTTTTAAAAAATGTTACATAGATTCTTATGCACTTGTGTCTTCAGTTATAAATAATAAATCCTAAAGTATTTTTTCTAGTTTTGGAACAAGATTTTTAATTATTTTGTTCTCTGTTTGACGTGTCTGTGGATATTTCAAGTATGAATGTTAGGCCAGTAAATAAACGTGAAATATGGCGAATTATCTCGTTTATTATTAACTTATTACTAAACATGGAAAGAATTATATTTTATACAATTTTCATTTCTTATTAACATTTACGGTCCTACGCCTATGATAGTGTTATTAAGTTTTTGCTCCTTTAAAGTTTTTCTTTAGAGTAAAATTTTAACGTTAAATTTTTTACTTTAGAGTAAAATTTTAATATTATAATTTTACTAAATATTATATAATACCTAGTCTTGTCATAAATATTGATAAAAAGTATTTAAGTAAAAAAATTTAAACTAGTGAGTTGATTTCAAAAATTTTTGTACAAGTTAATAATAATATAATGAACTACAAAGTACTCTAAGACTTATTAGCAATATTTACCGGAATTAAACATCGTCTATCCGTACAGAGGCAGGAGAATCCGATGATAACTAAATCGAACGTGGGGTACGACAGGGATGCGGATACTATCATTCTTGCTGTTTAACATATACTCTGAGAAACAGTAGAGGATGTTTAATTGGAATTAACGGAGAATGTACCAATAACATCAGATATGAGGATGACACTGTGGTATTCACTAACAGTTATAAATCCATCCAGAAGTTAATAAATAGAATCACAGAAATCAGTCGGAGATATGGACTTTCACTTAACATTAAAAAAAATGTATGATGATCTCTAAGGAGGAACAGCAAATTGGAAGAATTAGTGTGAATGGCCAACCAATCTTCTTCTTCTAACGGTGCCTCTCCGTTCAAGATGTTTACGATCAGCATAGCTATCGTAACTTTTGAAGCCAAGATGTTTTTCTTCTCCCTGGTCCTCTCTTTCCAAATACCTTGCCCTGAAGACTGAGTTGCAGTAAGCCATATCTGTGTTCATTTCTTATAACATGGCAAAGATATTCTAATTTGCGCTCTTTGATTGTAATAGTGATCTCACATTCCTTGCCCATTCTACGTAGGACCTCAATATTAGTCACACGATCCTTTCATGAAATTCGTAAGATGCGCCTGTAGCACCAAAATTCAAAGGCCTCGAGCTTTCCTAAAGAAGCTTCCGAGAGCGTCTATGCCTCTACTTCGTATAATAAAGTGGTAAATCGTGACTTCTGAAAGGAGACTTCATCTTTACTTACGCTGATCTTGCTTTCCCTATACGTTGTTTTATTTCAGTAAAGTGGTCCAATTGACTGTTTATGTTAGTACCAAGATAATATGTGTAACCCGTCAATTGGCTGTTGGTTTACCAAAATATGTGTATTTAATATTTCGCGTTTACTAACTTCCATGTACTTTGTTTTGTTGGTATTGAGATCCAGATCATATTCTCGACTTATATCTGATATGCACGACATTATTGTTTGTTAACCATTTAGACTACTTGCAAAAGCTACTGCGTCGTCAGCATATGTAATGTTGTTTAGACGCACTTCATTAACTAAGACGCCTTCCTGTGGTTGTCCCAGTGTTTGCTCGAAGATACGAAAATATCTCGTCGCATATTTAGTCAACTTTCAGTAGCAGAATTTAAATATTTATTGAGTAAAATCGATATTGATTTCTCAAAATTTGTATCAGTAGATGAAATGTTCAAGTCCTTCTGGGACGAACCGACGAACTAACATATGCATTTAATACAGCATTCCCACTGAAACGTGTTAAACCAAATCACGGAAAAAGTGAACATAACAAAATAAAGTTTTCAATTGAGTTAGAAAATGAAATATCGGAACTTAAACATGACAACTGGATTAGAAAAAACCCTAATATAGCAACGAAAATCATAAGAAAAAAAACAAATGATTAACCACAAAATTAAACTTGAAAAACAGAAGCACTTTTCGAATTTAATCAATCAAACTCCAGTAATAAAACAAAAACCATGTGGCAACTAGTAAACACAAAATTAAATAGAACCAAGAAACTTGACCTTCCAAAAAAACTGGAATACAATAATAGGCAATTAGAGTGCCCTAAAGAACTAATGTTTTTGCTGAGTATCTAATTGATTCGGTAGAATCCATAGTTCCAAAAACTGGTCAATG